CAAGACGGGGTCTGCTGACTCTCACACTCAGGGACAGGGGGACCCTGAAGGGCGAAACCTGGCATGGAAACCCAATCCCATTTTTTTTTTAGCCTGGGGTGTGTGTGTAGGGGGGAGGGGGGGCGCGGCATCGCTAGGTGGAGAAGCCGGAGGAGAATTCGAGATCAAAGCAGAAGGTGAGCCATTTGGGTGGAGTAATTAGTTCCCCCAGGATCGGGTTTTCTGGCTTCTGCCTGGTGATCAGCCCCGGGGAATCGGCCTCTCCATGGTTTTGCAAGGGGTGGGAAAGATTGCATCACCCATCCTGAGTCTCTTTCCCCTGGGGGAAAAAAAAAACCCTGTCAGGGAGTGAACCCTGGGATCGCTCCCGGAGACCCGCAGCATTTGGGGCATGGTGGCTGCCCCGCCAACGTGATTTTAAGTGTAAAAATCCAATATCAATTCGATATACTGTATACATATATATATATAACAGTTCCCCTGTTAGCCAAATGTTGTTTCTATCAGTGGTAATCAGCCCAGATAGGTAGGAGAAGAAACTCCACGTGCCAAGACAGTATATCTTTCAACACCAGGTGGACTCCCCCCACCCTCACAAAAATCAGGCCTGATATTACTATTATCTGCAATAATTAGAACTGCAGAAAAAAACCATGGCTACCAACCTGCCTTCCATGGAGGACCTGTCTACTGCACGAGTCAAAAAGAGGGCTGTGAAAATATTTACACACCCCTTGCATCCTGGACATAAACTGTTTCAACTCAAAATGACGCTATAGAGCACTGCACATCAGAACAACTAGACACAAGGACAGTTTTTTCCCCAACGCCATCACTCTGCTAAACAACTAATTCCCTCAACACTGTCAAACGAGTTACTAAGTCTGCATTACTATTAATCTTCTCATCATTCCTATCACCCACCTCCTCCCACTTAGGACTGCATGACTGTAACTTTGTTGCTTGTATCCTTACAATTTATATGGATTGTTTCCTAGTATGGTTTGATTGCTAATTTGTATCCTATGACTACCACTAAGTGTTGTACCTTCTTGACGAATGTATCTTGTCTTTTTATGTACACCGAGAGCGTACGCAACAAAGACAAATTCCTTGTGTGTCCAATCACACTTGGCCAATAAAAAAGAATTCTATTCTATGTAATCCAGGGCAGAAACAGCGATTGTAGAAAGGAAAGTTGAAGAGGCTCTGTATTTTCAATAGCCCTCTAAATCTCACATGCTCAAGAGCAACAGTGAAGGAAGCATTCGCCTCTCCTCTTCTCAAAGTCCTCACCTAAGAGCTGCTTTATTCTTCCTTTCCCCTCTCCAGTTTTTTTTCTTTCTTTCTGTGCCATTCCTCTTGGCTTACATATTTGGAGGCACGGCACGGCCTTTATGATGGCAAGTCACCAATGGGGGGAGGGAGGGAGGGAGGGTCTGCTTTAGCCTAGAGCAGGGGTCTGTAACCTTAAACACTCAAAAAGCCATTTGGACCATTTGTTTCCCACAGAAAAGAAAACACCGGGAGCCACAAAACCTGGGTGGGCGTGGCCAACTCAATGTCACTCCCACCCAGTCACATGAACCCCGCCCATTCAGCCACGCCTACCCAGGTTTTGTGGCTCCCGGTGTTTTCTGTGGGAATTGGGTCTCTCTCTCTCTCTCTTCCCTTCCCTCCCATTTCTTTCTTTTTCCCATCCCTCCCTCCTCTTTGGTGAAGGCGCTCCAGCTTTCTCCGAGCAGGACAGCGGGAAAAGGGGGCTGGCCCCGCTGAACCCCGCACACTCACCCCAGGGATCTGGCTCAGAGAAAGCCGGAGAGCCCTCACCAAAGATGTTCGCCTGTCAGCCGGTCAACCCGCCAGCTCCATGCGTCTTCGCTGTACTTTGGCCGAGCCCGGCTGCTCGCTTGTGTGCGCCCTCCTGGCCCTGCAACGGCCAGCCAGGGGGTCGCGGGAGGAGGAGGAGGAGGACGAAGCTGCCACCAAGGCTCGTGCTCGCTCCTCAATTGCAGGCCTGTCCCCTTTCCATCATTCCCGCCTCCCGGATCCCATTCCCATCCCGCCAGCCCTCAGGTTAGCAAGGTTGGCATTGGCCTCAGCCGGATTGGGTCAATGTCTCGGGGCAGAGAGCAGGTCACACAACCGAGTCAGCAAGGAGCCGCAGGAGAGGGGTCAAAGAGCCGCATGCAGCTCGGGAGCCGCAGGTTGCTGACTAGATAACGGAAAGGGGCACCATCTCCTCCCTTATCCGAGGGAGACCCCTCCTCTATCTCCGGACACCCCGCTCCATCCACGAGTACGTCATCCATCCTCCCTGCCAAGGTGTTTACGCCCAACTCAATACCAGGAAAGGTGTTACCTGATCTCCACCTGGAACTTTAAAAACACACACACACACACACACACACAAACACTGTAATTAAGGTGGTTGTTTTTAATTGCAGGTGCTAATTGTACCGGAAGGAGGGGGGCACGCTGTTTGCCGCCCACCCGGGCTCCCCTGAGCCAGACAACCAGCTCAGGCATCACTGGGGCTGATTAGTGGAGGGTTTTTTAATACCCCCTGGTTTATTTGTTAACTAAAATAGCCCTAATTTTACTCAGCCATTTTCTTTTTTTGCTTTCTCTTCTTCTCCATCCCAGCTAGATATCTATGCCGAGGCTGCCCAGGGAATCCTAGTTTCTAGCCTTCAACATCCAGCCGGCATTTTTTTTAAAAGAAAAAATTTTGGAAGGAGGGCAGAAAGCTTTTCCCAGAATGCATCCTGGCGAGAAATCACCCAGATTGGCTAAATTGTCTTCAATGGGCCTGAAAATTCAAGCCCCCCCTCCTGCCCCCGCACCTCCCAAAAAAGCTGCTAGCCAAATCCTTTTGACTCAATTTACCCGTTGGGTTTCATGACTTATGACTGATACCTACAAGTCAGCGGGTGAGCCAATCCAGGCGAGAGAAAAATGAGATGCTAAATAGAAGACGCAAGAGATATTTCGTTCTGGCCTTTTAGAGGCTGACATCTTGGAGGTTTTTTTTTTTTTTTTTTAAAGGAAAGGTCAAATAGGAAGCGGTGTTGTATCCGGGCGCAAATTATACAGAGCTGCTCCTTGCCAAAAGGAACAGGGCATCTCGCAAGGAGGCGCTATTAAAGCAGGACATTAAACATCCGCTCTCCCGTTTAAAAAATAAAAATAAAAATGAATTTCATCGCCTCTTCTTCCGTGCAGCAAGCTCATTGGGAGTCTTTCTCCTTCCTTGCCCGGTTTGGGGTGTGTTTGTGTGACTGTGCGTCTGTGCGTACATGTGAGCGTGCAGTTTTGGGGGTGAAGAGCAAAGAAACATTTTCTGCATCCGCTCCAAGGATTCTCTGAACCCGCTTTTTCCCCCATCTGGATCGCTTCAAGGGCTGAAAGCGAGAGTTGGCTTGCATTTTTCTTCCTCCAGCTCGCAATGATTCAGTTCGAAAGCACTTTGGCTTTTGGAAGGTCTTCCTGAGGGGATTGTGGGTGGTGAAGCCTTTGGGGCGAAACCTTTGGGGTGCTCTGGTCAAGGGCAAGGCGCAAACATCCCTTCAGCAGTTTGCCAACTGCATCCCTGGCAAAGTCTGATAGCAGTGATATTATAAATTAGGTATTATTATAAATAATAAATTATTTTGTTATTTATGAAATCGATACAATGCATCTATCTATCTATCTATCTATAGAGAGAGGGGGGAGGGAGAAAGGGAAGGGAGAGAAGGAGGGAGGGAGGAAGAAAGGGAAGGAAGGAATGGGGAGGAAGGAAGGAAGAGAAAGAGAGAGAGAGGAAGGAAGGAAGGAAAGGAAGGAATGGGGATGAAGGAAGGAAGGAAGAAAAAGAAATAGAGAGAGAGAAAGAGGAAGGAAGAAATAACAAATTAACAGATTAACAGAGTTGGAAGGGACCTTATAGGTCATCTAGTCCAACCCACCCACCCCCTCTCAAGCAGGAGACCCTACACCATTTCTGACAAATGGCAGTCCAGTCTTTCCTTGAAAGCCTCCAGGGATGAAGCTCCCACCACTTCCGAAGGCAACTTCTCTTCCATGGGTTGATTGTTCTCATTGTCAGAAAGTTCCTCCTCATTTCTAGGTTGAATCTCTCCTTGGTCAGTTTCCATCCATTGTTCCTTGTCTGGCCTTCAGGTGCTTTGGAAAAGAGCTTGAACCCCCTCCTCTCTGTGGCAGCCCCTCAAGTATAAGAAAGAGAAAGAAAGAAAGAGAAAAAGGAAGGAAGGAAGGAAGGAAGGAAGGAAGGAAGGAAGGAAGGAAGGAAAGAAAGAAAGAAAGAAAGAAAGAAAGAAAGAAAGAAAGAAAGAAAGGCATTCCTATTGTGGGATGGAGAGAAGCAGGTGGCAGTGACTACAGCAGGGTCTCCATTCACCCCAGGTGAACTGATACCCGTGTTTATGTACGGCCCGTTGGCACAGAGGCGACATCTGCGATCTCTCGCAAACAAGGACATGAAAGAAGTCGGCCCTTTTGTCTTAACAACCCACCTGGACAAGGAAGGGAAAAGGAAGATGGGGGGGGAGGTAGAAAGAGGAGAGGGGGAGGAAAAAACCCCCCGAAAGTGACACCCCATGATAAGCAGGTTTGTGTCAGCATCTCGGCTGTAAAAGCCCACTGACATTTTCCTCTCTGTGTGGCTGGTGACTTATTCCTTCCTTCCTTCTCCTCCTCCTCCTCCTCCTTTCCATCAATCTTGTACCAGCTCCGGATCAGAAATGGGGATGATAAGGCAAGGAATTATACGAACCATTGGCTCTAATTGCGCGATCGTTGGAAGACTATTTACCTGCAGCAGCCTACAATTCCCTGGAGCTCATCCGATGGGAGGAATGGGGGTGGGGGCAACGTTGGGTTAAAAATCTCCTGGGCCGATCCTGCTCTCAAGGCCGCACAATCCCCACCTTTTCATGCCCTCTCCTCCACCTCCCACCCCCAAAAAAAACCCCCAAGAAGGGGCAAGCCACTCTGAATTGCCACGTTAGCTCTTGCTTCGATTATTCATTTATTTATCAAATTTCGACACTGTCCGAGGATCAATCCCCTCCGCTCTGGAAGAGGAGAATGCAGATCCCACAAAAAAGGAGGGCTGTGGTTTGCCCCCTCCCCAGGAAAAACAAAATTGCACGGTGTCAAAACAGCAACAACAACAAAAAAAAAGCGAGGATGAAATATCTCTAAGAAAGGCTCGGGTGAGTTGTGTATGTCAGAGATAAAAGGCAGGCATAAGAAAGATTCCCTATTATTATATCTGGAGGAGAGGGGGGGGGATTGTCTGTGAAGATGATTCAGATGCCTGGGCAATTAATGTATCGTGGTTTCTGCCAGAGATATTTGCAATCGGTTTTGGAAAAGCTGGTATCGGAGGGACCTCGCTGACATTTTGGTATTTATTCTTTCTCCTTTCCTGGCTTTCGTGCAGAGGCGAAAAAAAAAATAAAAATCTGCTTTCGGGGGGAAAAAAATGCATCTTCAGCTCAATTTCGTCGCGGCTTTCCTGGAGAGGGGAGGGATAATGCAGAAAACCTTGCTAAAATTTCACCCATTTGCTTGTTTTTCTTGATCAAAGCACATAGCGGCATACTCCTATCCATCTTCCCCTGCCTTCAGACAAGACAATGAACACCACGGCCTCCAGATGGCGCTATGTCACCGTGCCAATTTGCTCTGGGATGCTTACGGTACCTGGGCTTTTTCCAGATGTGGTGGACTACAATTCCCATTCTCCCAACTGGAGGGCACCGAGGGCCATCTGAAAACAGAGACCGCCCAGAGATGGTCCAATGGAGTTCAGGCTTATCCGAGGCTGCAGACTCAGAAATGAACGTACAGCCTCATCAGTGTACGTGAAATGTTATGCCAGACAAAAACGATAGGAATGGCCTCCCCCAAAGGTCATGTAGCCTGACCCTCTGTCAGGGTGGGAAAAACATGAATTGGATGTTTGAAATATGACATACTGGTAGACAATGATGGTTCCCCCCCCCCTCCAGAGCTGCTTGAAGTTTTGGGGTGGGGAGAGATTTGGGGGGTGGGGCTGCCAAAGATGGACGGGCGGGGGGTGTCAACCAGCTGTGGCCTTTCACACAGAAATAAGCAACCCCTGGCCCATGCCTGTGCCCCTCCTCTCACTCTTTGCAGATCACAGACTTCGCAAGAAGAGACTAGTGATAAATTAAAATATTTCCTGAGATTTTTCAGATCTTCTTTTTTTTTTTTTCACAAATCAAACCCTAACACAAATGGCTTCACTATCTGGAACATTTAGTGTCCCTATTTTGAGCAACAGCTCCCCGGGGGCCATCATTTGCCATCCAATTCTTCCCCCCACCTCCCCGCCGCCTCTCCTCTGACGGAATCACAGTTACTGTCATATCCTCAGCGGCCTTCCGACGCCAATTAAAAGAGAGGGGAGAAAAAAATGCACTTTGCGTGCGCTTTTAAAGCATTGAACACATAACCGTGCCTTTAGCATTTCAAAGCTCTTCGGCACCAGCTGCAAAACACAACTGTTTCTGCACTGCCTGACCACACGAATCAGGAAATGTGTAGGGGTGTGTGTCTGTTGGGGGGGAAGGGGGATGACAGGTAATAGCTACCGGCCATCGATGCTCTTTGACCCTGCCCGCTTCCCGTTCTCTCCAATCCCAATCGCTTGCAAAAAGACGGGATGGCCTTCGACGTCAGCCTGGCCTCTGTTTTCTAAGGATTTTCCCAAGCGATGGAAAACAGGGCCACTCTAACAAAAATTCCCAGGTGGTGGGGGATGAACACCAGGCCTGTGACATGAGGCTGGCTGGCTGGGATGGAGGCAATAAAATCTCTCTAAAACCAAGCAATCGGGGATGGCCGCCAAGGGTAGGATGTCCTTGGGCTTCTGCTGCTGCCGTCGGCTAATTTATTGCCATTACCCCGATATGTAACTATCAAAAGGACACCGAGCGATGCTATTCGGCACCTTCATAAAAGCTTAATTTACAACTTCATCTTCCCAGCCCGGCTCGGCCCACAAATGCTTTCTGACATGCGGGGAAGGCTGGGCGCTCTTTGGAGAAACACAAATTTCCCCTCCGCAGCTTGCCTACCCCGTTTATTAACCCCGCAGCTAAATATTGGGAGCGGCAGAGAGAGAGAGAGAGAGAGAGAGAGAGAGAGAGGAAAGTGAGTCCCTCCCCACCCCCGGCTGGAGGCCACGTGTGGCTCCCAGGGTTATTTCCCCGTGGCCTGTTTGCAAAGGTTTTTTTTCTCTCTCTGCAAGCCGTCTCTGCCTGGGCTTTAGAGGGAAGGGGTGTCTTGGTTTCCTGTCAGTAGGGAGGGGGAGAAAAAAAAAGAGGATTTTTTTAAAAAAGGAAAGGGGTAAATTACATAGCGGAAGAGTTGCTCTCTATAGCGAGATGGGCAGCACATATGTAAATTTAATCAGTAAATAAAATAAGTACACAGAGAGAGGGGTGCAGGAGCCTTGGTAGTACGGTGGTCTAAAGCACCCTGTTATTAACACAGCTGCCTGCAATTACTGCAGGTTCGAATCTCACCAGGCTCAAGGTTGACTCAGCCTTCCATCCTTTCTAAGGTAGGTAAAATGAGGACCCAGTTTGTGGGGGCAATAAGCTGACTTTGTATAAATATACAAAAGGATGAAGGCTATTGCTTAACGCACTGTAAGCCACCCTGAGTCTCCGGAGAAGGGCGGCATATAAATCAAATTAAAAAAAAAAAAAAAGTCAGTGGGCTTCGGTCTGGACCACCACTACCAAATGTTCATCCTGGGGGCTGACCGAGTCACGAGATAAAACCTGTCATTTTTTTTTTGATTGGATGGTGTTTTTCTGATTTGATCTATTCTAGACCGAGGTGCATCTCTTCCTCCAATCTCTACAAGGGGAATAGAAAGGAGGAAAGAGTGTTTTATACCTCTTTAGGTTTAGGTTATATTTTAGACTTGTTTTTAATCCCATCTTTATTAAGTAACTCAAGGTGGCAAATATATGATTAATAAATTTGGAATCCTGCATCCAGTTTTGGTCGCCACGATGTAAAAAAGATGTGGAGACTCTGGAAAGAGTGCAGAGAAGAGCCACAAAGATGTTTAGGGGACTGGAGGCTAAAACATACAGTATGAAGAATGGTTGCAGAAATTGGGTACATCTACTTTAATGAAAAGGAGGACTAGGGGAGACATGATAGCAGTCTTCCAATATCTCAGGGGCTGCCCCAAAGAAGAGGGAGTCAAGCTATTCTCCAAAGCACCTGAGGGCAGGACAAGAAGCAATGGGTGGAAACTAACCAAGGAGAGAAGCAACTTAGAACTAAGGAGAAATTTCCTGACAGTGAGAACAATTAACCAGTGGAACTGCTCGCCACCAGAAGTTGTGAATGCTCCAATGCTGGAAGTTATTAAGAAGAGATTGGACAGCCATTTGTCTGAAATGGTGTAGGGTTTCCTGTCTAAGCAGTGGGTTGGACTAGAAGACCTCCAAGGTCCCTTCCAACTCTGTTATTCTATTCTATTCTAATTATACACTTTCTTCCTCCTATTTTCCCCACAAAAAACAATCCTGCGAGGTGGGTTGGGCCGAGAGAGAGGGACTGGTCCAAAGTCACCCAGTCGGCTTTCAGGCCTAAGGTGGGACTAGAACTCTGAGTCGCCTGGTTTCTGGGACAACGCCTTAACCACTATACCAAACTGCCTTTCTTTAGGGAATGATGGACTCTGTGGCTCCTCTTTTGTTAAGCTCTTGTTGGTGTTTAGTGATCTCACGATAGAGGTAGTCCTCGACTTAAAACCATTCGTTTAGCGACCCTTTCAAAGTTACCATGGCACTGAAAAAAAGGGAGTTATGACTGCTTGTCACACTTAATGACCATTGCAACATTCCCATGGTTACACGATCAAAATTTGGGGTGCTTGGCATGTATTTATGACAGTTGCAAGGGTCCCGGGGTTACGTGTTCCCCTGATTCACTTAACAACCAGATGATAACAACTGCCGAGATTCACTTAACAACTGTGGCAAGAAAGGTCATAAAATGGAACAAAACTCACTTAACAGCCGTCTTGCTTACAAATGGAAATTTTGGGCTCAATTGTGGCCTTAAGTCAAGGACTACTTGTATTACCAATCTGTTGGCTTCAGTTTGGTGGTCACAACCACCCTGTGAGGCGGGTTAGGCCGAGAGGCCGAGAAGTCTCAGTTGGTCTCAGGTCATTGGATCAGTTTCAAAAGGCAGAGCCCGATTTGACACTGGTCTCCCTGCTGGTAAACAAACCGGGATCCCAATTCGATTTTTTTTCCCCTTGCAAACGTTTCTTGCGTCTGAATTGGCAACGATAAAAGGACAGGCTGAGCATCTTGAGCGACGTGAATCTAAATATTATTTCAATTTAACATGAGGAAAAAGGTTTGGAAGCCGCAAAAGCAAACAAACTGAGCGCACAGTCTCCAAAAATTCTTTTTTTTCCCCTCTGTCTGCTCTTTTATTGCGAGGCTCTGGGGGTGGGGAGGAGAGAATGTGGGTGGATATATATTTTTTTGGAATCACCCGTGCAAAAATCTTACAGTGGAAATAGGCTTGCTGTCTGCCTTCTCTCCCCTGCAGGCATTTTGAGGACGAGATGCAGAGACTGTCACCAGCGTTCAATAAATAATCAAGACTCGAGAAAGATTTCAGTCCCCCCCCACCACATTTCAAATATTCTTTGCTGCTTTTGCTAATGATCCATGATGTTGGTCATAAACAAGCCATTTGAAGGCTCCAGTCAATTCTGGTTCTTCGAGAACCCGGTTTCCTTATCTCTACCCACACTTATCTTTACCCCACCAGTAGTCCACGGTATTGCAAGCAGCATAATCCGAGTTCATCTCATACACCCGCACACACACACACACACACATACCAGGGGTGCTATTCAGCAGGTTTTGGAGAACCGGTAGCGGAAATTTTGAGTAGTTCGGAGAACCGGCAAATACCACCTCTGGCTGGCCCCAGAGTGGGGTGGGAATGGAGATTTTGCAGTATCCCTCTCCCCCAGGAGTGAGGAGGGAATGGGGATTTTGCAATATCCTTCTCCCAGGAGTGGGGAAGAAATGGGGATTTTGCAGTATCTTTCCCCTGGAGTGGGGAAGGAATGGGGATTTTGCAATATCCTTCCTCCAGCAATATCCTTCCTCCAGGAGTGGGGAGGGAATGGGAATGCTGCACTCCAGGGAGATTAGATGAAGCAAGACATGGGGAGGGATTGTTAATTTAACCCACCGAAAATTCATGGGGACGGGTGGGAGAACCGCATCTGGGGAGGGGGGGCTTACAGAGTCCCTTCCATGCCACAAACAACACATGGCTTTATTTCTCCAGATAAAGGTAAAGGTTTCCCTCGCAGTTATGTGCTAGTCGTTCCCGACTCTAGGGGGCGGTGCTCATCTCTGTTTCGAAGCCAAAGAGCCAGCACTGTCCGAAGACGTCTCTGTGGTCACGTGGCCGGCATGACTCAACCGTGCCAACGGCACATGGAACGCTATTCCCTTCCCACCAAAGGTGGTCCCTATTTTTTCTACTTGCGTTTTTTAACGTGCTTTCATACTGCTAGGTTGGCAGAAGCTGGGACAAGTCACGGGAGCTCAACCTGTTACGCGGTGCTAGAGATTCGAACCGCTGAACTGCCGACCTTTCGATTGACAAGCTCAGCGTCTTAGCCACTGAGCCCTGGCGTCCCTTTCTCCAGATAGACCACTCCTAATACGACAGCGGGAGGCTCTTATCTGAAGGAGGAGCCCAGCCAGCCTTGGCTATCTCAGCACCATCTCCAGTGCATAGAAGGATGTCCTACCAGTTGCTTTTGTCAGCTCCTGCAATTGAGAATTTAACAGGAAAGAGTACAAGAACAAGCCGCCAGGCGTGACATCTCCCCGTGGCCAGGCTATATACAAGCCTCTTCATGCCACCAATCTTGCCTGCTGTCAAGGAACTTGCCTGCTGTGAAGGAGCAGAGCGAAGGAGGAAGGAAAAAGGAAAGGATTAAAACAGTTGGACTGTTCAGTCATTTCCTCTGGGGGAGCCTCATGAGCTGAAAACGGGAGTGAACTCCCAAAAAGGTTTTTTTTTTTAGCGCCTTCCTCCTGCTTTCAGTGATGTTCCTGAACTCAGGATCGGGAGGCAAATTTGGCACGGGAGACCCGTCTGATTCTGGGCTCCCAAGCAGGGTGATTTGAACTGGAACAGTGGTGGGTTGCTCCCGGTTCGGTCCGGTTCTTGCGAACCGGTAGTAAAACCGGCGGGAGGCTCCGCCCACCTGCCCGGATGTCATTATGGACAATCTGTGCATGCGCAGAAGCGCACGCACATGTGAAGCAAGCTCGCGCATTCCCATTGAGAACCAGTAGTAAAGGTAAGTAGAACCCACCCCTGAACTGGAAATGTTGTAATTCAAACCCAAATTACTTCTGGAATCGCTAGATCTCTTGAGGCAAGATCGGGAATCCCCATTTTGACACCCCCCCCCAAAACAATACACACCTCTAATCCTAACATCTCATGCCTGCTTTCTCCTCTTTAATTCCAAGCTTGTGTGTTTCCTCTGACCCCTCCTGCTTGAGTTCTCCTCCTGCTGAAAAACCCACCCCCATCCAGACTTTTTTAAAAAATCTATCCCTTTTTTTTTCTTTTCATTTACTTCCCGCATCTGTTCTGCACATTTGGTAACAACTGAAAAAGGTGGGCTGGGTAGAAACAGTTAAATTATTAAAGCTTATTTTTAAAAAAACAAACAAACTTAAACTCTCCCAAGGAAACACACTAATGAAGGCATGAACATAATGAGTTTAAGCAGTTGCCAAGGCACACAGTCAAATCCAAAGGTACAACCCTGAGCCGATACAATTTTGCGGTTTAGGTCTTTCATCGGTAATGTAAATCTATCAGAGAGAAAACAATCATTAATTTTAATAACACCTAGCATTGCTGTGCATTGAGTGGAATTTTCAGCACCGAGATGAGGGTTTCCTCTCCTGAGAGCCATCGAAAGAGAATTAAAAACTTGCTTTCTTCAAATATGAATGGAAAAAACGAGCTTGCCTAGTTTTTTTTTTTTTTTTCCTAAGAGGCAGCCAATGTTAACATAAGGTAAGAGAATATTTAGCCTGTTTGTCAATGGAATTAAGCAGATATTTTCACCTGTCCGCTTTTGGAAAACTGGCCTAATGTGTACATAAATTGTGGGCCTCTTGTTTGGATTTTTTTAATGTTTATTTTCAACCAAGGAATCTCTGCCTTCGGAAGCGGTGATCGTCTTCAAATCGAAACCATTTTCCAGACTCCAGTTAACACTTCAGTGGTATTAATTCAGTGCGTTAAGAATAACCCCGCGCGATAAAGAAATGTAACCCTCCTCAGAAACAGTCGTTTCTGACAAAAGAAATGCCAGTGGTTTATACCCAATTTAATCAAAGGTAGGTTTCCATCCCCTCTCCCATGACAACTCCCAACTGGTGTAAAAAAAAGAAAGATACAAAATGATAGCATCTTCAAAAGAATCCTTCAAATACAAAAAAAAACTAAAAAAAAAAAAACTAAACCAAGAGAAAAGGGGAAGATCAAGAGAAATCAGAGGGTTTTTTCTCTCTGTGTGTGTTCTCTCTATGGAGAATGAATAAGGTAAAATGCATAACCTGACTGGGCTATTGAGAATCAGGAATTTATCCTACAAAACTGTTCAGACTCGCTTTCCCTGCTCGTATTAATGGTTAGTTGCTTGCTGGCTTTTTCCAGACAGTTTTAATAGGCCTTCCTTGACTGTTAACAATAAATCATATTCAGCCATCAGATTCTCGGTGTGCAAACAAACCCGTGCTAACGATGAGCGAGCTTGCCTTCTGCAAATTTACTCACATCTCGGCTTCTTCCCGTTACCCGTTTGCAAAGATTGATCTATCCAAGTTCGGCGGATTTGCCAATTTCGCCCCCCCCTCCCACCCACCCGGTTTTAAGTCAGTTTCAGTGTCACATTTTTCTCACTCCTGAGTTTAATTGGCGCCCATTCCCGTAATGGTTGGAGCAGGTTGTTTCCAACTTCACACTCACACCTCTGTATCCACTTCTGGGCACATTTTTCACCCCCACTTGTTGAGCAATTCCTGCACAACGCATATAGTTTTTGCACGCGCCTTCTTTGAACGGAATGCATTTTGTACATCCGTTTTACAAACGTATGGTTTTTTTAATTTATTTAGGGGGTTTTTTTGCAGCTGGATACCCCTTTGCAAAACTTCCTCCAAAAGGCTGTGTTTGTTAAAAAATGCAAAATGGGATCATTTTTCATAGGAACCAAATGAAGTCTTCCCGCTCAAATCAATCACCCCTTACCTGTCGCTGTCTTCTGAATTTCTCAAAAGCAGCCTGCATGGTCTCCCTTTCGGCCCTCCGAGGCTTCTCTTCCTCATCTTCCTCTCCAAAGTACACCGTAAAAGAGCAGAAATTCCTTTTCCTCTCCTCTTCCATGCTGCTTCCGAAGAGTTCTCTGTAAAAAAAATAAAATAAAATAAAATCAACATTCACAGGTTGGAAACATCATAATTCTTCAGCCCCAAACAGTTTGGATCGATATTATTATTATTTTTTTAATTTAAAAAAAAAATCTTTTACAAATTCATTGTGTAATTTTGAAAGTACATCCTTATTGTAATGCTTGCACAGCGGTTGTCAAGCCAGATCAACCTGATGTAAGCAAGATTTTAGGTCAGTGATGGCAAACCTTTTTGCCGTCGCGTGCCAAAAGTAGGGGGAGCCCAGGGGGGGGTCGTGCGTGCACGTGCCCACACCCATAATTCAATGCGCCCTACCCCCCACACATGCATGTGCGACCCCCCCACGCTCCCCCCCCGGTTTTGGCACATGATGGCACGATGGGCCCGGTAGGACCGTTTTTCGCCCTTCCCAGGCTCCAGAGGTTTTTTAGGAGCCTGGGGAGGGCGAAAACAGCCTTCCCCACCATGCCAGAGGCCAGAAATGGCCCGTTTGCCGACTTCCAGTGGAACCTAGAAAGGCTCTGGAGCCTGGGGAGAGTGAAAAACGGGCCTTCCCCACTTCCCCGGAGGCCCTCTAGAGACCGGAATCAGCCTGTTTCCTGACTTCCGGTGGGCCCGGAAGGCCTGAAAATCAGCTGGCCGGCACATGCATGCACACCGGAGCTGAACTAGGGCAACGCTCACATGCCCACCAATATGGCTCCGCGTGCCACTTGTGGCACACATGCCATAGGTTCGCCATCACTTCTTAGTGATGGCCCCAAAACAATTTGTTGTGAATCATCAGAATAAAAATAAATAAATTGAGAGTCTAACATTAACTGCTCACCTGTTTTCCAGATTTTATCAAATATCTGAGCGTACTGCTTTGTTCCTAACCTTGAACGATATCGTTTTAGAGGATTCTGCTGGTATATTTGAGCAATGCCTGATTTCTAGGCTTCACCACGGCTGATCAGAATACAAAATGTGGGAGTTTGAGGTGGGGTCCGTGTGAGAAGGAACAGCAATAGTTTAGGGGGCTTAAATGGCTTTGGGATCAGGACAAAGGTTTACTGCTTAAATTAATGGAATGAACTATCTCTCTCCCCATTTTTTTTTTTTAAGCAGGCAGAAAAATACTGAAACCGGTTTGGGCCCCGTTATACAGATAATTAAAATTTCACTCAGTTGAGCACAAGACCAATAGACTAGTTTATTAAAATACCTGGAAAATGGTCGTGGTGTATTCTCCAGAGGTTTTAATGGCATTTTGAAAAGCCTAAACCACATCGCCGGGCACAAATATTACTCATTAAAAATGTGGGTCAGGCAGATTTGGGGGAAAGGGACTTTAGTTTAGATGACTTTAGGTCCTTTCAAATCCCAAGCCAATAATATTCTGTGAAGTTTGGCTTTTGTTATTTCAAACTTTCTTCAGCCCTTTTACTAATTCACAGAGCTTAAAACTCAATAAAACCAACGTATTTCCACCGTGCACTGTTTTCCCTCCAATCAACGGAGTACATATCAATTTGTTTTGCCAAATAAAACAGAACATTAAGCAAACCTTGCTTTTAGCAATTTTCTGATTGTTTGGTGTTTTTTTCGTTTGAGGGAGAGATTTTGTTCCTTGCTGCAATATTGAATGGTTTTTAGCCTCTACAAAATTTTGAGCCGGTCAACTGCCAATGAACTCCAAATTTCAGAGTTGTTTGGTGTAATAGTGAGTACGGGGAGCTGGGTTCAAGGACATCCTCTGCCACAGAGGCTTTGGACCAGTCACTATCCTGCCATCTGTGCAACTTTGCAGGAGTGTTGTGCGGATAATATTAAAAAGAATGCTCCACATCACAACCTTGAACGCCTAAAGATAAGGCAGAATCTATACCAGTGGTGAAATCCAATTTTTTTTACTACTGGTTCTGTGGGCGTGGTGTGGCTTGGTGGGCGTGGCTTGGTGGGCGTAGCAGGGGAAGGATACTGCAAAATCTCCATTCCCACCCCACTCTGGGGCCAGCCAGAGGTGGCATTTGTCGGTTCTCCAAACTACTCAAAATTTCCGCTACCGGTTCTCCAGAACCTGTCAGAACCTGCTGGATTTCACCCCTGATCTATATTTAATATGTCCATACATCTATTTACAGACATGCTGTCCTCAATTTACGAACACAATTTGGACCAGAATTTCCCTTGCAACTAAGCAAGGAAGTTGTTAAGTGAGTTTCACATCAGTTCATGATTTTTCTTTTTTTTGCCAAGGTTGTTAAGCAAATCACTGCAATTATTAAGTGAATCCGTCTCCCCCCTCTCCCTGATTTTACTTGTTAGAAGCTGGTTGGCAATCAGACAACCCTGGGATACTACAACCATCCTGAACACATACTGGTTGCTAAATGCCTAAATTTTTGAGCACACGGTCGTGGAGATGCTGCAATGGTTGTAAGTAAGAGGACTTGTCATAAATCGCTTTTTGCAGTGACGTTGTAACATTGAACAATCGCTAAATGAATGGTAGTTAAGTCGAGGACTACCTATATATTGGTTCAGTGAGTGAGCAAGAACTGAAGTTAAGAGAGGGAGGAGCCTGAGACGTTGCAGGAGGAGCCAAAACAGAATGGGCGGGGCCATCAAATCAGGGCGGAGTCAGGGGTTCAATTTTCCTGGACTTTCCCTTTCAACAGGAAAAACTGAGTCTGTCTCAAAGGCAATTTCGACTTTGAAGAAACTGAGTTGGGGAGAGAGGCCATGAAGAAGTCACTAGAAGTAGAAACTCAAGGGTGGTGTCCCTCTCCAACTAGGATTCACAAGCTCATCGGTCCCCCAAAAGTGTGATATTCTAATGTCAGGTGGGAAGGCTGACACCCATTCAGTGAAAACTATCAGCAGTGTGCCCACCCAGACAGAAAACATATGTCTTTCTTGCCAGGCTACAGAGATTTCAACCGTATGGATTAAAAACAAGAGGGTAACCTTTGTCTCTGATGGCACCAGCTGTTTGATTCCAGCTGGCAACGTAAGTTTTCCAAGCTGCTGGGTATCTCTGGTTCAAAAAATAGAAACTCTCTATTATAATCTACGGATTATACAAAGCCTCTGCATGGATGAGGTCTTAATTTTCAAGTGGACATCTGTTGGGGGCTATGGAAGCCCTGGTTCTTTGAGAGCTTCTCCGAGACTCCAACTTCTGCTCCCTTTGCATCCAAAACACTGAAAATACAGACTAACAGATATATATATATATATACATCACCAGAGATTTTGTTTTTGTGCTTTGTGTTATGGGAATAATGTGTAAAAATAAGAATTACCTTACTCTAATCTCTGGGTTGCCTTCCTGTCTCACCTTCTCTGGTAGACAAACGGATCCAATCAAAACTGCCTTGGTAGCACAGGGAGACCCGAGAATTTTGCATCACGATGCTCTGTTGGACAAATGTTTTAAATATTTTGCATTTGGAGGGTGGCTAAAGGCAGGAGCTGGATGAGGTTTGCCTGCTCAAAATTCAACCAGCAAGTGGAAAGCATTTGGGGGAGAATAACCCCTTGGACAGTTTTTGAAATTTCATGTTCCCATCTTTGTTATCTTGGCAAAAATATTTAGGATTTCAACACCACTGACGTTATAGAAGGCCACAAGGCAGACAGGGTGGGTCAGAAAAGTCAAGCCATAATCACATGAGAAAAATTCTTCTCCTTTTAGATGTGACACCCCACCCCCCAAAAAAGAAAGGGCTCTGATCACGTAGCTCTGGCTACCATTCCCTCCTGAAGAATGTAGCACTTTGTTTGTAAAATCTTAGAAGTTGGCCATCTCTGTCCATGGCTTGCATAGGTTTTGCTTAAACATTTGCAGAAACACATTGACATATGAATCTTATTACCTCCTAAATTTTTCCCCTATCTAACTTTATTCTTGTTTGTTCATTTACTTGGTTTTGGGGCGTCCCCTTTTGACTTCAGCTTCATTTATGCCAGAATGTTCAAGTCCGATAAATTTAGAATTTCTAAATAGCGGGGTAGTCCTTTGGGTATTGCTCCAAGGGCTCCAATTATTATTATTATTATTATTATTATTATTAGTAGTAGTAGTAGTAGTAGTAGTAGTAGTATTAGTAGTATTAATTATTAGTATTAGTGTTGTATTATTATTGTTGTTGTTTTTGTTGTTGTTTTTTGTTATTATTATTATTAGTACTACTACTACTACCACTACTATTACTATTACTATTACTAGAATTGTATGTAAAGTATATTGACCCAGACTGTCCACTGTCCACCAGGTACTTATGGATGTTAATGGAAAAACATAAATAAAATTATATATATATGGGGGAAAAATTGGTGGGGACCAAAATAAAATCATTCTCTGCTTAATGAGGAGGAATTTTTGGGGTGGGTGGGAGGGAAATGGCTCAGCTTTTTAAAAATAAAATATATAATTGCCTGTTAAAGCCATTCTTTTGTGCACAGGGAGGGCAGAATGCCTTATTATTGCCTCATTTTCTGACACAATTTTGGGGAATTTTGTGGCCTAGAATTTAGAGTTGCCTCTTGTACAGAGTGATGATGACACAGGTGTGTGTGTGTGTGCAGGTATATTATTCCTCCCCTAATTTTTTGGGGAGATGTTTCAATTGGCACAGGTTCCAGAGCTTTGAAATTATATTGTGATTTAAAGCTGAGGTGAATTTATGAGGCACAGAAATCCCCCCCCAACCCCACCCCAATATACACAAACACACGTAACTCCCCCCTCCCCTTTTTTTTTCCTCTCACCTGAACCCTTTGCCTCAAACTAGGGGCGTCTGGTCTCCTAGCAACCTCAAGATGGCCTCCCCGCACCGGGCGGATCTCTGGTTCTTGTAGTCTCCGCGGCCTAAGACTCTCAGCATGGCGCCCCAACTCGGAACTACATTTCCCGAGAGGCGCCGCGGGGGGACGAAGGAAGCGGGGCCAGACGGGACGGCGTCTACCTGGGCGAGGTGAGAGGCGTCGCCGCGGGGGTCGACGGGAAGGGTAGTTTCCCGCCCTATGCGCGGGCGGGCCGCGGAGGGGCCGCCGGGACTACAAATCCCAGGGAAGAGCGGGCGGACGCGAGGTAGGGCCGCCGTCTCAGGGCGGGGGGTACGAACGGGAGACGGTCGCGCGGTTGGCGGCCGCCGCCAACGGCTGCTCTCTGCGCCCGCGCGCCCAGGTAAGGCCGCGAAGGGGGGGGGGGGGGGGGGGGGGGGGGGGGGGCTGGGGGCCGCCCCGCCCTTGGGGGGGGGGCATCGCGGGTCCGAGGGGTTCCTGGAGTGGCTTATGGGGACAGGTGTCCAGCTCTGGCCTTGGGGATGGGATGGCATGTCGGTTTCGCCTGCGGGGCGCGGGATTACAGCACCCATCATCCCCTGCCCCCCTCCAGGGTATGGGGCTCCTGATCCCCGCCAAACAGGCATGCAGAAATCGTTGCCTTCGCCCTTATGCAAGACTTTGCACATGCGTAGGAATCAATACCCATGCTCCCCTGCCTGCTTGGCCCACTTAAAGCCTAGCACCCATCCTCCCTTGCCTGCTTGGCCCTTTTAAAGTCCCAGCACCCATCCTCCCCTGCCTGCTTGGCCCTTTTAAAGTCCCACCACCCATCCTCCCCTGCCTGCTTGGCCCTTTTAAAGTCCCAGCACCCATCCTCCCCTGCCTGCTTGGCCCTTTAAAGCCTAGCACCCATCCTCCCCTACCTGCTTGGCCCTTTTAAAGTCCCAGCACCCATCCTCCCCTGCCTGCGTGGCCCTTTTAAAGCCTAGCACCCATCCTCCCCTGCCTGCTTGACCCTTTTAAAGCCTAGCACCCATCGTACCCTGCCTGCATGGCCCTTTTAAAGCCTAGCACCCATCCTCCCTGCCTGCTTGGCCCATTTAAAGCCTAGCACCCATCCTCCCCTGCCTGCTTGGCCCACTTAAAGCCTAGCACCCATCCTCCCCTGCCCGCCTTTCCCAAAGCCATGCCTTCTAGATCAGTGGGACTTACCATACCCTTCCAGTCAGTCTCGATGCAGTGCCTTCCAGTTCTGGGGGAATGCAATGCCTATCATCCCCCACCAGCTTGGTTATGAAGCGTGTTACTTTCTTGGGGGAAGGTGAGACCACTCTGCCCATCATCCCCTATCGGCAAGGCCTGGGCCGCCCTCCTCCGCTTTCCCATTCAGGGCCCAACCAGAAGTACATTTCCCATCGCTCCCAGCCAGGCTGACCTGGGAGTTACTATTCACACGTGTAACATTATGTCTCTGATTGTTGCTTGGGAACTCGGTTCTTCTCCTCAGTTGTCTTTGGCGATTTTTAATTTGGAGTCCAGTTTTTAGTTCCTTTTTATATGGAATGAGGAGAAGGAGGAGGCCAGGAAAGTGGGGTGGGATCCCCCTACTCACAGCCACCTGAGCTGCTCTAAAACTTGGTTTGGGCTGAAAAAGCAGAAACAGGAAGATGGAATAGGGTAGGGTAGGGTAGGGTAGGGTAGGGTAGGGTAGAGTAGAGTAGAGTAGAGTAGAGTAGAGTAGGAATAGGAATTAGAATTAGAATTAGAATTAGAATTAGAATTAGAATTAATTAGAATTAGAATTAAGAAGAGAACAAGAGTGAAGAGAAGAGAAGAGTGGATAGAATAGAACAGAGAAGAGGACTGAATAGGAGAATAGAATAGAATAGAATAGAGAAGAACAGAGAAAAGTGAAGAGAAGAGAAGAGTGGATAGAATAGAACAGAGAAGAGAAGACTGAATAGGAGAATAGAATAGAATAGAATAGAGAAGAACAGAGAAGAGTGAAGAGAAGAGAAGAGTGGATAGAATAGAATAGAACAGAAGAGAAGAGTGAATAGGAGAATAGAATAGAACAGAATAGAGAACAGAGAAGAAGAGAAGAGTGAAGAGAAGAGTGGATAGAATAGAACAGAGAATAGAAGAGTGAATAGGAGAAATAGAATAGAATAGAATAGAATAGAATAGAATAGAATAGAATAGAATAGAATAGAATAGAATAGAATTCTTTATTGGCCAAGTGTGATTGGACACACAAGGAATTTGTCTCTGGTGCATATGCTCTCAGTGTACATAGAAAAACAAGATACATTCATCAAGAATCATAAGGTACAACACTTAGTGGTAGTCATAGGGTACAAATAAGCAATCGAATCATACTAGGAAACAATCAATATAAATTGTAAGGATACAAGCAACAAAGTTACAGTCATGCAGTCATAAGTGGGAGGAGGTGGGTGATGGGAACGATGAGAAGACTAATAATAATAGTAGTGCAGACTTAGTAAATAGTTTGTCAGTGTTGAGGGAATTATTTGTTTAGCAGAGTTAGTAATGGCATTTGGGAAAAAACTGTCCTTGTGTTTAGTTGTTCTGGTGTGCAGTGCTCTATAGCATCATTTTGAGGGTAGGAGTTGAAATAGTTTATGTCCCGGATGCGAGGGGTCTGTAGATATTTTCACAACCCTCTTTTTGACTCGTGCAGTAGACAGGTCCTCCATGGAAGGCAGGTTGGTAGCCGTGTTTTTTTCTGCAGTTCTAATGATCCTCTGAAGTCTCTGTCTGTCTTGTTGGGTTGCAGAGCCAAACCAGACAGTTATAGAGGTGCAGATGACAGTTGCCGCTGGAGCCTGACTGACCCTTTGCAGCAGGAACAGAAAGGAATTAGCTAACCAGGTGCAAGAAACATGAAAAAAAAAAATCCCCCAAAAGTACAACTGGCATCCTAAGGGTGCAAAGTTACACTTCCTTTCCCTTATGTGGCCAAAGGGCACCTTAAAGGAGATGTCACCAGACTTCCTGTAAAGTTAGGGTGGTGTCTTCGTAAAATGCTTCAGTTTTCTAAGGAAACAATCAAGCAATGCCATTCACGGGGTCTGTGTAATGCTGGTTGAAGCTACTCAAGGAACAGTTGGCCCATCGATTTCACTTGGGGGGGGACGGTCAAAAATCTGTAGGTAAGCCGGAGTTTTTAAGATTTCCTCCTTCTTCCCTGCCTTCATGAGAACTAGCAACCAGAAGGAGCAAACCCGTCGGGTAGAACGACACAGGATCTCCAGGTAGCTGGTCACGACTTTGCTGGGTGGACTGGACTGTCTTCAGCGTGATATTTCTAATTGTCAAAAAGGAGTAGGAACAACATCCTATCTGCTAAAAGTGCTATGTATTCGGCTCCCCTTTAGAATTACCAGCTAAAATGAAACTTTTTCCTTCAGGGAACGAAGTTCCTGAATTGGTCAAAAGAAATGCTGTTTGGTCTCATCCAGAGAGGAAAAATTGTGGAAATTAGCAAACTAGAAGTATCAAGAGCCGGAAGGGACCCCATACCGTTTCAGACAAGTGGCTGTCCAATTTATTTATTTTTTTAAATTGAAGCACCTACAACTTCTGGTGGCAAGCTGTTCCACTGGTTAATTAACCACCGCCCTGAGTCCTTCGGGAGAAGGGCGGTATAGAAATCTAATAAAATAAAATAAAAATAAATTGTCCTCCCTGTTAGGAAGTTTCTCCTTAATTCCAGGTTGCTTCTCTCCTTGGTGAGTTTCCATCTGTTGTTTCTTGTCTGGCATTCTGGTGCTTTGGAAGATAAATTGACCCCCTCTTTCTTTGTGGCAGCCCCTTCAAATACTGCCATACTGCTATCATGTCACCCCGTAGCCCAAAGGGACAATAAAACCCAAGAGCCTTGATAGTACAGTGGTTTAGTGCACCCTGTTATTAACACAGCTGCCTGCAATTTCTGCTGGTTCGAATCTTACCAGGCTCAAGGTTGACTCAGCCTTCCATCCTTTCTAAGGTAGGTGAAATGAGGACCCAGTTTGTGGGGGCAATAAGCTGACTTTGTATAAATATACAAAAAGTATGAAGGCTATTGCTTAACGCCTTGTAAGCCGCCCTGAGTCTCCAGAGAAGGGCGGCATATAAATCAAATTAAAAAAAAAAAAAAAGAGATACATTTCCGTAACAAGGGTCTTTATCGCTTTTCTAAATTTCTTGGGGAAAATCCTCTATTATTTCATTGACGTTTTGTGTCTTTGAGGGCGAACAAGAGCGAAGTTCTCGGTGTCCTTTGAACTCATTCCTGGAATGACTCAAGGAAGGCGAGGAGTCAAAAAATCTGGGCAGGGTAACCAGTTTGGTAGGTTCTGGAAGTCTGGCCAAACGTCGTAAGGGAAAGGACATCATCTCCAACCTGCCTCCAATTCTAACAGTTGGTTGAAGGTACCAATAGCTGCTTCACCTCTTCTTATTTTTTAATAAACGGAGCTGGGGTTGTTGTTGTTTTTTTCTTTGTTCAGCTATTTTATCACCCCGTGGGTGGCTCTGAGAATAATTTTCCAGGAAAAACCCCACGTGCCGGCGTAGATCGTCCCTGATTAACGCTTGGCTACCTAGGAATTTGGCAAAGCGAGCTGCGGCTTTTACAAACTTTTGCAAACTTTCCAATTGATTTTTTTTTTTTAAATTTGATTTACATGCCGCCCTTCTCCGGAGACTCAGGGTGGCTTACAATGCGCTAAGCAATAGCCTTCATCCTTTTGTATATTTATACAAAGTCAACTTATTGCCCCCACAATCTGGGTCCTCAATTTACCCACCTTAGAAAGGATGGAAGGCTGAGTCGACCTTGAGCCTGGCGAGATTCGAACTTACTAATTGCAGACAGCTGGAGTTAAGTTACAATGCATTAGTCTGCTGAGCTATCCAGGCTTGGTCCTCCGGTCATTAAGGAAGAAGAGCAGCCGTGGCCCAGAGGGATTACTTGTGCCTTTGACAACTTTTGCTAGAAAATTGAAAAGATTTGGGGAACAGGTTGCTGTTGTTGTTTTTTTGTCTTTTTTAAGATCCAGAATTGGGGGAATGAATGAATGAAGCTTCGGGGCCGTGCTATCCTCTTGGGCCCTGGCGCTAATGACCCTCATCTATATTCCAAATTAAATTTATATATCCAATCAGTTTATATTCTTTCCTCTGGTTAATTCCCTCGAGTTTTTGCGGTGCGCGATGATGGGGGCTTCTCAAAGGAAGGGCTTTTTCGGTGTGGAGTTTTGAAAAGCAGCGGCTTTGATGTGAAAAGCGGTTAAAAAGCTCAGAGTTGTGAGTCTCGTGGGGGGGGGGGGCGAGGAAGAGATGAAGGATGCGTCCACCTCATCCATGGGGGATGCAAGCCTTGGTAGTGGGAAGAGGGACTCTGAGAACGTGCAGAAGGCGACTGAGGAAGGAAGCGAAGGTGGGAAGGAGGGAGCAGGAAGTCCAGCGTGTGAGAAATGCTTGAGGTACACTTCAATCTGGCCTCACACACACACACACACACACAGACACAGACACACACACTAGTATAGAGTGAAGAACAAGGGATTCCTGCACAAATAGTGTGCTACACCAATACAGCTGGCCTTGTGCCATGCCTAGCAGAGATCTCCCAAGCACAATTTTGCTGCACCTGGTTGAACCAACGGTCACCAACTGGTGGTCCATGGACCACTGGTGGTCCGCCAGAAAATTTTGGTGGTCCACAGAAAAATTATTTGCCTTTTTTGTATTGCACTAAGTCCTCAGACTATGGTCCCTGGGACAGATACATGCAATGAACGGTTGTGTTACTGCAGAGAGTCTCCCCCTTCAGGGTCTTTTTGTGTGGGTCGGAGGGGGGCAGGAATTCCGACTTGGGGGTCTGCTTCAGCCTCCTGGTGTGGGGGCTTTGGGCGAAGGCTGGAGGGAAGTGCCGCTGGTGGCGAAGAGCCGGAGGGCCTCGTTCCAGTGGGACTGCATCATGGCCTGGAACTGGCTGACCATCTCAGCTCATCTGAGCCTCCAGGTGCCTTGCACTCCCGCAGGTCTTCCCTCTGCTTGGAAAGCCTATGCTCCTAGTCCTCAGTGAGGTGCTTCTGAGCCTCCTTCTCGGTCAGATCCAATTTGAACTGAGCCGGCTGTTTTGCCAACTCTTTCTCCGCTTAGCTTCAACAACTGCTTCCTGTTGGGGCCCTAAGGAGCCCGGGCGGGGAAGCGAGGAGTGGCTGAGAGTGGCGGGGTGAATAGAGGCCGGCGAGGCGCCCCTCGACGTGAGTGACATTGAGTTGGCCACGCCCACCCAGTCACATGACCACCTAGCCACGCTCACCCAGCCGGTCTTTAGGCAGATCGTATTAGTGGTCCGTGGGATTTAAAATTATGAATTTGGTGGTCCTTGAGGTCTGAAAGGTTGGCGACCCCTGGTCTGAACCAACCCATACGGTGGTGGGGTGGGGGGGCTTGGAGAAGTCGGAGCGGTAATCCGACACGTGTCTGGATCCTTGGAAATATTCGCTTCCTGCTCCGGCTTGAGCTTATAACGCACGTTCGGGTAAAGCTATTTTATAGAAACTGAGTTGCTGCCAGTTTTTTTTTTTTTTTTTATTGACAAGCCATTCAAAAGCCATTCTTTGCCTTTACAATCCCGATTAATAGCCTGCTTTGATCGCCTTGCCTCTTTAATCAGCTTAACTGTTAAAGTATTAAGAAATCTTTACCCCTGCTCGCACGCAGCTCAGCGGAGTAGCAGCGCCGGAGAATGTAAGCCCAATGGGTGGGTTTCACTGATGGGGCAGGGGGAAGCGCGGAGGCAGGAGCGGTGGGCTCCTTTGTGAAAACTTGGTTGGAATAATTTTCCCGTCTTCGTTGCCAATTCAGTGGGTTCGGGGGACTATTAAAAAGAGAAAAGGGTCGACGCGAACGGTCTAACTTATAAATTTGCACGTTAAGATGATTTGTTTGGGATTCGAAGCGCGTTCTCTTTTCATTTCGCCGTATACTATCTTCCCGAAACTGACTAGTGGCAAGTGAAATACTAGCCCAATGATGGCGAACCTTTTCCGCGCCGAGTGCTGAAAAGGGAGCGCGCACGTACACACGGAAATGGTGTAGGGTCTCCTGGTTGGGCGACGGGGTTGGACTAGATGACCTACAAGGTCCCTCCCAACTCTGTTCATCTAAAGCATTCAATTCCGCTCCTGCGCTAAGCCGGGCAGCCGTTCTGCCAAGCGAGTCCGTCTCCTCGAAGGCGCGAAAGAAATATAGGCTTAGCCGGGATAAAAACATCAGCAGTTCAATCTTGAAAGGAGACAGATCAATTCTTGGGCCGTAAAGGCAGATAAATGCCAGCCCAGCAGCCAAGAGAGCAAACGTTCTTCCGAGCATCTTACAAATTTGTGGCAGCAGAGAAAAATCGTTCCATAAATCATCCTTGTCTGGTTGATAAGGACATGATCGAACGAGCCGGGCGGGTGGGGATGTGACCCATCTCACTAACCCCCATCTTTCTAGTCGGGCTCCAGTTTTTCCTCTTTTCTAAACGAGAAGGAGGATAGATCCGTTTTTGGCACTGTGTTAACAGCTGCCGGCGCAAGATGGATAAGACTGGTAGGTCGCCAATTCCCTTGAGATGGCCTCCTCGTTTTTCAGCCAAGCCTGGCTGGTTTAAAAAGAAAAGAAACCCGGGTTTCAAAAATAAACCATCTTGTCCCCAAATAAGACAGTCACAGCTGACTGGTTAAATTCCAGATTTGGAGAAGGATTCATCAGGCCACTGAACAGCCAGTGGCTCAGTTCAATGATTTTTGGCTAGCTGGAAGGAATGAAGGTTATTTTTAAATTTTTCCCGCTGATATTGACAAAACACAGACGTTTGTAGAAAGGCCATCATCGGAGGTGGTATTCAGCCGGTTCGGACCGGTTCACCGGAACCGGTAGCAGAAATCACGGTGGGCAAAAAGCTATTTAACAGAGTTATTTCCAGATTGACTCTCTCCTTGATCAGTTTCCATCCATTATTCCTTGCCTGGATTTCAGTTCCTTTGAAAAATAGCTTGACCCCCCTTCCTCTCTGTGGCAGCCCCTCAAATATTGGAAGACTGGCTTGGAGAGCTGCCAGGCTGATATCTTCAAAACTTGGCAAGGAGTCAGGAACCAATTAAGTGAACTAATTGTCTCCTGCAAACTCCCCTTTCACTCCTCTTTTATTCCCTCTGGGAGGGGCCATTCACTGTCCACCTGTGGCTTTACTCCTGAGTCGACCCTTGTTCTTTAGCTGTTCCCTTCTCCTGGCAGCTCACACTGGGAACAGGCTCCAGCTGTTCGTCTGCCCCACTGATGTCCGACTCCGAAGGCAGCTGACAACTGTCAGACGGCCCTGGCCCCCTCTCTGCCTCCGACACAGAGCCCTCGTCAGAGCCCTCCCCAGACTCCAGGACTGGCCCATGTTCCTCCCCAACCTCCTCTCTGTCTTGAGTCTGCCCCCCGCTCCGCAACACCCTCTTGCAAAAAAAATCTGCCAGATGTGAGCAGTTGACTCCTAAAACAGAGATGCTCGTCTATTTAAACCGACATGTCGCGATCGGATGTAAGTCGGATCAGAGCTAGTGGCCCTCTGATCCTAGGATTGACTTTTTTTAAAAAAATAAATAAATCCAAGCCAATTGGTTGTTATCAAGGACCTTTTTCTCATTCTCCGGCAGGCTTGTAAAATGAAAATTTGTATGCCTCTTAGTTTGATAACGCCCGATAATAGGAAGCCTTACAAGCCCCTCAGCTTTCACAGGCCACAAAGCTTTGATGCGTCTGTGATGCGAGAAGAAATAGTCTTATTTTCTATCAGTTTTTCACTCTCCCTTAATACATTCGCTTGGTTCCTGTTGCGATAAATTCCCAGGAATAAAACAACTAAGCTCCGTTTGCGGTTGAAATTGACGGATGCGAAAAGCTTTCATTCCTTCTCTCTCTGTGCTTCGCAAGTTGTATTTAGGGGGGTTTTTTTGTTTTGTTTTTGGAGATTAAAAAGATACTTCATTTTCTAAAGATGGGTGAGAAAAAGACGTTCAATTATCACTTGAAGGAGGCGCATCTTTTTTCCAATTTGGGCAGATCAAAAAAGCCAATTTGTTCTTGTGTACTTCGTCGGATTCCTTTTCGCTTTTATTTTAATTTTTTTTTTGTTTTTTTTAAGCCGCCCGCCCTCCTCCCTTTTAATTTGATCAAAATTGCCTTTTATGTTTGCGCTAGGAGTTTTCTCCCAATTGTGCATGCCAAATTAGAACTTAATACAGCCTCGCGAATGGCTTCATAAAAGTTATTATCGTTCTCGGAGTTCATCAGGCGTCGTGACTCATTTTACGTCCCTTCATTTTGGTTGCTAAGGCAGGCGAGAGGGGCGGAAGATCTGGTGGGGGGAGAGATTTCTACTTGCCCCAAATAACCAAGATTTTTCAGCCCTCTCAAAATTGCTTTTCATAAAACTTCAGTATAAAGCTACTAATCCCAACCGGGAAATTTTGCCTCCTTGGGATGTTCCCAAGGTTGATTCATACAAAATTGGTAAAAGTAGATTTTCTTATTATTATTATTACGTTTGCATGTCCAGGCTGTGTGTGGATGGAGGTGCAAGAAGCTATTTAGCAGATTAACAGAGTTGGAAGGGACCGAGCAGGAGACCCTAGACCAGTGGTCCCCAACCCCTGGTCCGCGGACCGGTGCCGGGCCGTGGAGTACCTGGCACCGGGCCGCGCAGCGGCCGGGGGACAGGAACACTTCAGCGCAAAGGCTCCTGGGCCGTGCGCAATGGGCCTGCGCAAAGGCTCCTGGGCCGTGCGCAATGGGCCTGCGCAAAGGCTCCTGGGCCGTGGCCCCACCCCTGCGTGCGCTCAGCGGGCCGCGGCGATAAAAAGGTTGGGGACCACTGCCCTAGACCATTTCCGACAGATGGCAGTCCAGTCTCTTCTTGAAAGCTTCCAGTGATGAAGCTCCCACAACTTCTGAAGGCAACTTCTGTTCCATGGGTTGATCGTTCTCCCCGTCAGAAAATTTCTCCTTATTTCCAGGTTGAATCTCTCTCCTTGGTCAGTTTCCATCCATTATTCCTTGTCTGAACTTCAGTTCCTTTGGAAAATAGCTTGACCCCCCTTCCTCTCTGGGGCAGCCCCTCAAATATTGGAAGACTGCTATCTTGTCTCCCCTGGTCCTTCTCTTCACTAGACTAGCCATGTCTTCTGTCCATCGATGGTTTATTCAGATGTCTGTCTATTTGTCTGTCTTTCTTTCTTTTCTTTCTTTCTTTCTTTCTTTTTCTGTCTGTCTTTCTTTCTTTCTTTCCCTCCCTTCCACCTTCCTTCCTCTTTCCTTTTTTCTTTCTTTCCTTCCTTCCTTCCTTCTTTCCTTCCTTCCTTCCTTCCTTCCCTCCCTCCTTCCCTCCCTCCCTCCCTCCTTCCTTTTGCTTTGGAAAATAGCTTGACCCCCTTCCTCCTCTCTGGGGCAACCCCTCAAATACTGGAAGATGCTATCCTGTCTCCCCTGGTCCTTCTCTTCACTAGACTAGCCAGGCCCAGTTCCTGCAACGGTTCCTTCATATGTTTTAGCCTCCAGTCCCCTCATCATCTTGGCTATTGATGCTCTGTTCTTCCTTTCTGCATCCACATTTTTTATATCGATCCACTCGTTTCCGCCATTTTCTCACCGAGGGGGCCATGTCACCATAGTTCCCATCGGGGACATATAATATACGAGGGTATATATATAATTCTGTATTTATCTGTATTCATTTATTTATTCTGTTATGTTATGTGGTGTATATCGGAGGTGGTGACCCAATGAGAAATATATCTGCCGAACTAAACTCCGCATCGGCGTCAGGAAGAGCATCCGGCCAGTAAGCACTCTGCTAGTTCCATTCAGTTGCCCAAACTCTACCCCGCAAGGGATTATGGGGTCGTTAGACGATGATGATGATGGGAGATGGTGACCCTCGGAGAGCTGCATGCAACAAAATTTCACTTTAACGTATGCCGATTAGCGTACATTGAAAGTGACAATAAAGTTGTTATTCTATTCTATCTCCAACCTCGATTCCTTTCATCCTGGGCCTGGCATTGATTGGCTGTCTTTTGAACCCACCGACAAGGTTCCTGGTTGCTTAGCAACTGCGCACACCTGTCAGCAGGTGCAGAAATGTGCTGTGACTCTTTTGGCGGTGACAATTTCCCCCAGCCTGTCCAAATTACAGCATTTCCATTACAGGGTAGCCCGCGACATATGGCCGTTTTTGATTTATTTATTTTTTTTGAGCCCAAATTTATATTGTTCAATAGGTACATTCGTTAAATGAGTTTCGCCCCGTTTTATGACGTTTCCTGCCACGTCGATTAAGTTGAATCACGGCCGTTCTTAAATTAGGAACACGGTTGTTAAGTGAATCTGGCTACCCCGTGCACTTGGCTTGATAGAAGGTCGCCAAAGGGGAATCGCGTGACCCTCCCCCCTGGGAGACACAGCGACCGTCATAGACGTGAATCGGTGATCAAAGCACCCGAATGCAAATCACGTGACCATAGGGCTGTGATGCACACGTGCCCAAAGTAGCACGCGAAGCCATGTCTCCTGGCACGCAGGGTCTTGCCTGTTTGTCTTCTGAGTTTCTGGTGTGCATGCGTGCACGATGATCAGCTGTCTTTCGCGCGTCCGGTAGTGCTGAAAACGGGTGTGCGCATGGGCGCTGGCCAACTGATTGTCGGGCTTTTCTGGAGCGCGGCCCTGACGAGCGTGCTCCCATCACTGCCATAGGGGGAATGCTGCAATGGTCGTCAGTGTGAGACGTCATGAGTCACTTTTTCCCAGGGCCGTTGTAACTTGGAACGGTCACTAAATGAACTGTTGTAAGTCGAGAACTATCTGTATTCCCAAGGACAGGCAAGACACATCCTTACCGCTCTGCCTCTGTACTGCTATTTAGCGGTCCAGAGGGAGTAAAATTGCAGCGGGGAAACTCTGAATATTGGATATCTATCTATCTATCTATCTATCTATCTATCTATCTATCTACGTATCTATCTATACTTTTCTTTTCTTCGTAGGCTTTTGCTCCATCTCAGACATGGCGGTTCCCTGCGTCTTCCTTCTAACTGTGCTGGGAGCAGAAGTCACCAGCAAATCCACTGACAGCTTGGTAGGTATGGCTTGTGGCCGCTGGCTGAAATCTATACTCAAAAGGAAGGGATTAAAAAAATCAAAGGGAGAGGCTGAGATTTAGCCGCTGAACCTCGGGACCTGGACACAGGAATTGTATAAGTAGCATAACCGCCGCCAGCTCATTGGCTCGTGAATTCATTGACGGCCCTACTCCCGGGGTAAGTTACGGCTCTAACAAGCCACATTAGATTCATTGTTTCCTTACTCTGAGGATGCTACGAGGGGAAGCCATCTGTTCATCCAGCGAGTGTCCCTGATGTGGCTCTGGAAGACCGCAGCCTTTTAATCCTGATTTCCAGTTGTGATTACTGATCACTCCAAAGGATATTAGTCGGTAGATCGGATCAGCCTGGATTTGTGATTGAGAACGCTGTTTTTAAACAAAAAAAACCCCCCAACAACCCCAAACAAACCTGTTTTCTGTAAAAAACCTCTGCCGCCTTTTTGTGAATAAAAGAGGAATTTGTTTCCGGAGTGTAAATTAAAGATATATTCTGTTGATCCACCAGACAACTCGGGTCCTTGTTTCAGAAGGATTTCCATACCAGATTTTTCATGGTAGCGTGTCTAAATCAGCGGCAGGATTCACAAATTCTTACCACCGGTTTGCTGTGCACACGCTCGCTTTGCGCGCCTGCCTTCCACACGTGCGCCCAGTTTTCCACACATGTGCCCAGCCTCGAAAACGTAGCTAAATAGGATGGCATAATGCCGGCGTGGGCAGGGGCGGGCCCACCCGCAGTCGCCGCTGCCGGTTCTCCCAAACCGATACGAACCGGCTGAATACCATCTCTGTGTCTAATGTAATGTAATCTAATTAAGCAATGGATGAAAAATCAATCGGGGAGAGAAGCAACCTAGAACTAAGGAGAAATTTCCTAACAGGACAATTAACCAGTGGAACAGCTTGCCACCAGAAGTTGTGAGTGTTCCATCACTGGAGGTTTTTAAGAAGAGATTGGACAACCATTTGTCTGGAATAGTATATGGCTGTGATGGCGAATCTGTGGCACGCGTGCCACCTGTGGCACGCGTAGACATATCAGGCACGCGAGCTCAGCTCCAGCTGATCTTCGGGCCTTCTGTTCCCACCAGAAGTAGGGAAACAGGCTGTTTCCTGCCTCTGGAGGACCTCGGGGATTGGTGGGGAAGGCCCGTTTTTCTCTCTCCCCAGCCTCCAGAGCCTTTCTAGGAGTCTGGGGAGGGTGAAAACGGCCCAGATACAGCCCATTTGCCAACTTCCGGACTGGGGGTTTTCTTGTCCAACCCCCTGCTCAAGAAGGAGACTCTTATGTACAGCATTATTTTAATCAATCAATCAATCAATCATGGCTGGCTGGGGAATTCTGGGAGTTGAAGTCCACACATCTCCAAGTTGCCAAAGTTGAAAAACACTGTTCCACACGGACAAAGCCTGACTTAATCCCTCCAAGTCTCAGGTTTCGAGGTCGTCTCAAATAAATTGCATTTCAAACAAAGTCTTTGATGAAAAACTCCCATTTATTAAGCACGACATTCTAACTCCGATTCCATCGTAGCCAACACTGACTTCCTGACCCAAAACCCTCCCTTTCCTTTCCCCACTCCTCTGCACTCATTGGCCATCTTCCAAGTCACTCTACCCCTAAACTACTGCTCCAGCTCAAAGGAATTTCCCCCCTCCCATCCCATTTCCTAGGGGATATTATCTCCAGGGAAAATAAGTAGGTGAAAAGTCAAACGTCCCTTTCCAGACGCCTCTGCTTCTTCTTCTTATGTCAGCACTAAAGTAAATGCAGCTTGAAGTGCTGACACCAAGTATGATTTACAAAGGTGGAACTATATGTTCTTCTTACTTTTCATCCCTTCCAACTGCTCGTAGGTGACTCACTGCATTAATCTTGATTTAGAGCATCTCCAAATCAGGGCAGCTAAGATTTCTGTTCGAGGCAAGAATTCCCAAAGCCGCTAACTTACAGTCTGTTCTGAACAGTACTTGCTCTCATTTTTTTTCCCCCTCTAAAAAGACAAGAAAAGATTTCTTTCCTTGTCAGAATTTCCTGGCCTGGTAGAGCTACTTTTTTTTCTCCCTCTGCCCCATCCATTCATCCATCCATCTCCAAATACGATCACCAGCAACCTTTGAACTCCCCAGTTCAAAGCCGTCCAGATTTGGAGGATTGCAATTCCCATTGCAATTGGTCGTAAGTGTGAAAAACGGTCATAAGTCACTTTTCCCAGGGCCATTGTAACTTCGAACGGTCCCCAAACGAGCTGTTGTAAGTTGAGGATTACCTGTAAACCATATTTCTGGGACTAAAGCATTTAAACATCCCCCAAATGCATCTTTCATCTCTCCGGCTAAAAACTCATCCATGCAGCGGTGGGTTCCACATATTCTTACCACTGGTTCGCCCCGCGTGCGCATGCTCGCTTTGCGCGTGCGCCATTCATGGATGCGCCCGGCCTAAAAATCGTGGCTAAATAGGATGGCATTACGTCCGGGCAGGCTGCTACCTGTTCCCCCGGATTGGTACGAACCGGCTGAATACCACCTCTGCATCCATGTATAAATAAATATTGGATTCAATTCAATGTCTGCTAAGATGTCTGCTGACACTGGAAGTTTTTAAGAAGAGATTAGACAATCATTTGTCTGAAGTGGCATAGGGTTTCCTGCCTAAGCAGGGGGTTGGACTAGAAGACCTCCAAGGTCCCTTCCGACTCTGTTATTCTATAATTCTATAAAGTGGGAGGAATCTCTGCTGGAGGGGGGAAAAATCGGGGTGCAAATCTCAAAGTCAGCCCCTTCCGGCATTTGACAAATCAATAAACTAATTTTCCCACCGGAGCAAAAACCCATCCAGTCTCCCTCTTGAACTGTCAGAGGTTTCCTGTCGGCCGTCGTAACTGCAAACGGTCACTAAATGAACTGTTGTACATTCGAGAACTGTCTGTCTTCTTCATGTCAAGTTTTTCCCATGTTTATCTTGGGAAAGGCCAGTATATCTTCATCTCCCTCCGCTGTGAAATCCCGAACCCAGCGCCGCGCCCGGGTTGAATTATTCTTTTGTCTGCACCATCGATCAATTCCAGAGCCCGCGGGCCGTACGGCATGCTACAACTTCCAGAAGAAGAAAAATCACAGCTCAAGATCAGCAGGCTTTAAAACATCCGAGCGACCAAAGCTTGGCAGGAAGACAATAAGTCTACGTGAAAAGCTTGGCTGGAGATCGCAGGGCGGTCGTGTTCTTGACAACTCATTTAAAAGGGCTGCTTTTCCGAATCGATCCCACCAATCTTTGGGCTTGGAGCCCGGCCAAGCCGCAAACCTCACATACAAGGCGAGACCACCGTGTTCTCCTGTGGGAAATTGGGCTCCAGATGGTAAATAAAACAGCAGCTTTCCTAAATGGAACTACCAGAGGAACGCGGAGAGCCCGGCGCGGAATATTTTGCGGGAACAGAAAATGTGCTTTTTAAACGTTTCGTGGCGAGCTGGCTGGGATGGCGTCCAGCCAAATGACTCTGGGCAGGGAGTCAAAAGGAAACCACCGACAGTTCAAGATGGAGACTGGATGGGTTTTCGCTCTGGCGGAAAATTTATTTATTGATTTATCAAATGCATCAGCCGATCCGGGGTCTGGAAAAAAGCCGGGAGGGGATGACCTTGAGATTTGCACCCCGTTTTTTTCCCCCTCCTGCAGAGATTCCTCCCACCTTATAGAATTATAGGATAACAAGAGTTGGAAGGGACCTTGGAGGTCTTCTAGTCCAACCCCCTGCTTAGGCAGGAAACCCTACGCCACTTCAGACAAAGGGTTATCCAACCTCTTCTTAAACACTCTTAGTGTTAGCAGACACTTTTAGCAGACCTTGAATTGAATCCAATATTTATTTATACATGGATGAGTTTTTAGCTGGAGAGATGAGAGCTGCATTTGGGGATTTTTAAATGCTTTAGTCCGAGAAATATGGTCTACAGGTTGTCCTCGACTTACAACAATTCATTTAGTGACCGTTCAGTTACGACGACACTGGAGAAAATGACTTACGACCGTTTTCACACCACCGTTGTAGTACCCCCATGATCACGGGATCAACATTTGGACACTTGGCAACTGATTCGTATTTATGACGGTTGCACTGTCCCGGGGTCACGTAATCCTCTTTTGCGACCTGACAAGTAAAGTCAATGGAGAAGTCAGATTCGCTTAATAACCGTGTTACTAACTTAACAACTGCAGTGATTAACCTGGGACTCGGACAACCTACAGAATGACCCCTAAAAGTAAAGGTAAAGGTTCCCCCGCACATGCGTGCTAGTCGTTCCCGACTCTAGGGGGCGGTGCTCATCTCCGTTTCAAAGCCGAAGAGCCAGCGCTGTCCGAAGACTCCTCCATGGTCATGTGGCCAGCATGACTCAATGCCAAAGGCGCACAGAACGCTGTTCCCTTCCCACCAAAGGCGGTCCCTATTTTTTCTACTTGCATTTTTTAATGTGCTTTCGAACTGCTAGGTTGGCAAAAGCTGGGGCAACTCACGGGAGCTCACCCTGTTACGCGGCACTAGGGATTCGAACCGCTGAACTGCCGACCTTTCGATCGACAAGCTCAGCGTCTTAGCCACTGGGCCATCGCGTTCCTTCTATGACCCCTGCAACAGCTAATAGAATACATGCCCTTGCCACAGGAACAGGAAGCTCAAGTGCAAAGCCCAAAAGAGGGTATAAGTAACCCTCACTCTCAACTCCATGTGTGGTCACTTGCACCAGGACCATGTGCTTCGCCATTAAACCATCTTTCCAATCAGCCTCCATGTTGCCAGTGTTTTTCTCCCTGCTTCGAACTGAACCCAGATGTCGTTTTCATTCTCCCCAGCCACAGTCGTGATCTCTCCTCTCTCCTGCTATTTATTTTGGTGCTTCGGACGAGGTGGGGCCACGTAAGGGCGATTGCATTGCGGTTTGGTGTTCACGCGGGGGCGAGAGATTACAAAACGGAGTTCTAAGCAAATGAATTTTGGAAAAAAAATTGTGTGTGTGTGTTTTTTGTTTGTTTGTTTGTTGTTTTTTTTCTCCATACACTAGGAATCGGATGCAGAATGCTGCGTCGATACGATGGAAGCCAATAGCACCTGTCTCGCCAACAGCCAGTGCACTCCAGGTAGGCAGTTACAGGGGTGGGCTTCAAAAATCTGCCCGGTTGCTGGGTGGGCGTGGCCTAGTCTGCCTCCTGCACCACGGCGGTGGCGGGAGGCATTTTTGCCCTCCCCAGGCTCCAGAGGCTTTTCCCAAGCCTCCGGGAGGGCGAAAACGGTCTTCCCAGGCTCCGGAGGCCCAAACTTCCGGTAGGCCCATTTTTCGCCCTCCCCGAGCTTCCACACGTGCCCTGCGTTTACCTGCATCCAAAACGGGCCGCGTGGGAACTCCTGGGAGGGGAGGGGTGGGGCGGACAGGGCGGGGCCAGCCAGGAGTGAGATTTGGGGGTTCTCCGAAGTGCACAGAATCTTAGCTAGAGGTTCTCTCGAACCCCCAGCAGCCTGGTTTTGGGCCTGCAAAGAAAGCAGCATTTTCACATTCGGAGAAGCCGATCCCGAGGTTGGATGGTTTTCTCTGTGATCTCCTTTCCAGCGGCAGCTTTTAAGCCTTCCGCCCACTTAATCATTGTGAAAATCTTATCCCGTTAATTTGTTTGAGCTTCCTCCCACTTTTTTTAAAAAATCCCTCCTGGGGTCAAGATTGAAATTAATCAAGTGATCATTTTCGGCAGTATGCTCCTGTGGGGTTTTTTGCCCCTTCCTCCTTCATTGTTCCAAAATGGCCAACTCCTGTTGACTTAAAAGCTAAAGAGTAGCACGTTTCTCCTTCTCTTTCTCGCTTACCGCCTTAATGCGGTAAGGAAACAAATATTTTGTTTCTTCGTTAAATTTATGCGCTGTCCATCTTGCCGAGGGACCTGGCGTTTACAACCCAAAGTCAACATTTTAATGTTGTGTATCTTGCAAAGGTTAACTTATCAAAAAGAGAGAGGGAGGGGGGGAAAAGAGAACTTTCTCTGTTTTCCTTTCTTTTCTTTTTTTTTTAAATGCTGTCCAAAATCTGTGCCGGGGCTTATTTCTGCCACTTTAAGTTTCTCCTAAACTACAATAAAATTGCAGTGCTGATTTTCAGCACGAGGGGAGATGAAAGAATATTGATGCTCAGTTGGGGGTGAAGGGGGAGGCCTGTGTGTGTTCCTTCCTTCCTTCCTTCCATCCCTCCCTCCCTCCCTCATCCATCCTTCCTTATTTCCAATTCCTTCCTTCCTTCCATCTATCCCTCCCTCCCATCTATCCCTCCTTCCTTATTTCCAATTCATTTTTCCTTCCTTCCTTCCTTCCTTCCCTCCCTCCCCCTCATCCTTCCTTATTTCCAATTCATTTCTTCCTTCCTTCCTTCCTTCTCTCTATCCCTCCCTCCCACCCTTCATCTATCCCTCCTTCCTTATTTCCAATTCATTTTTTCTTTCATTTCTTCCCTCCCTCCCTCATCCGTCCTTCCTTATTTCCAATTCCTTCCTTCCTTCCTTGTATCTATCTCTCCCTCCCTTCCTTCCATCTATCCCTCTTTCCTTATTTCCAATTCATTTTTCTTTCTTTCCTTCCTTCCTTCCTTGTATCTATCTCTCCCTCCCTTCCATCTATTCCTCTTTCCTTATTTCCAATTCATTTTTCCTTCCTTCCTTCCATCTGTCCCTCCTTCCTTATTTCCAATTAATTTTTTCCTTCATTTCTTCCTTCCTTCCCTCCCTCCCTCATCCGTCCTTCCTTATTTCCAATTCCTTCCTTCCTTCCTTGTATCTATCTATCTCTCCCTCCCTCCCTTCCATCCTTCTTTCCTTATTTCCAATTCATTTTTCCTTCCTTCCTTCCTTCCTTCCTTCCTTCCTTCCTTCCTTCCTTGTATCTATCTCTCCCTCCCTTCCATCTATCCCTCTTTCCTTATTTTCAATTCATTTTTTCCTTCCTTCCTTCCTTCCTTCCTTCCTTCCTTCCTTCCTTCCTTGTATCTATCTCTCCCTCCCTTCCATCTGTCCCTCCTTCCTTATTTCCAATTCATTTTTTTTCCTTCATTTCTTCCTTCCCTCCCTCCATCATCCGTCCTTCCTTATTTCCAATTCCTTCCTTCCTTCCTTCCCTCCCTCCCTTCCATCTATCCCTCCTTCCAATACTTCCTTCCTTCCATCTATCCCTCCCTCCCTCCCTTCCATCCATCTATTCCTCCTTCCTTATTTCCAATTCATTTTTTCCTTCCTTCCTTCCTTCCTTCCTTCTCCTCACTCTCCTGTCCTCATACCACGCAGGCTGCTACAGGCGGTGGAACGAAGACGGCAGCAGCGCCTGTGTGAAATGTGAGAACGAGACCCTCCCGGCGGCTCCGGCGTACAACCTGACAGACTGTCAAAACAGTGAGTCCGCTGATGATCTTCCGATCCTGATCACCTGTGGGGCAGAGTTAAGAATGCTCCCTCTGCTTTTCCCCTCCGCGTCCAGCAGAGGGCGGAAGAGAGGCATTTGAAGGATTCGGGATCCTGGGATTGAAAACAGCTCAAGGTTCTAGTCCTCCTTTTTTTTTTTAAGAGGAGAAAGCAAACACGGTTACAAGAGTTGATTAGTTGGTTTGGCGTGTTTTGAAAAAGCCCCTCGATCGATACCTTATTTTTATTTCATTTATTAAATTCATATACAGGCCCTCTCACCTACAGTAGTGGCCAAGATTGTGGAAATCTTTTGGGGAAAAGTATTTTCTAAAACTTGGCTAATGACACCACTTTTTTTTTTTTTTTTTTTTTTTTGGAGTAGTACCATAAAATTATATATCCGTGGAAAGATAATTTAATCAAGAACGTAATGCAATGACTTTTATGAAGGACTTGCTATTAGAATAGCAGTGACAGTCTAAAGAAGAAAAGTGAAACACGTAGAAAAATACGAGACATGCAAAAATGATCACCATGTCAGTGAATATTGAGTTGGGTAACCTTTTGCATGAATTACAGCCTTACAACGTCTTCCCATGGAGTGAGCCAAGTCTTTGAGTTCTGCAGCTGTTATAATGTGAAACCAAGATTGAAGGATGGCTTCTATTAACTGGGTTTTATTGCTGGGTCCCTTCTGACTTAACAAGTTTCTTTAGTCGGCTCTATAGATTTTCAATTGGGTTAAGGTCTGGGCTATTCCCAGGCCTTTTTTGATTGAAACTCAAAAAAATAAATAAAAATGTGGTGTTATTAGCCATCAAACCTCAAAAAATACACTTTTCCCAAAAGGTTTCCACAATTTTGGCTGCTACTGTATAAGGCAGCTCTTTACCTTGGTTAGTCTTTCGTTGAGCAATTCCCAGCTTCGAGACTCTACCGTTTCTTTCTGCCTTTACGACAGTAGGAATGCAAGTCCCCCCCCGAAAACTGAACTCTACACTCTGTTGGAAATGGCCTTGGTTGGAAACCCTGGACAAAACTCTTCTCCCACTGCTCCTCCAGGTATGCATCCCATCGCATATGATGGTGTCACCTCATGCGTGATGTCACTTCTCCATCCACGCTCCTCTATGCATTGTTAAAAAGATTCTTACATTCAGGATTCTCATCCGAGACCGCTAAATCCCTGAGGAATTTCCTACAGGTCTACATTCTACTTTATTTTCCACCAGGCACAGGGAATGTTAAGTGAAACTAACCACATTGTGTCTGTAACCACATTAATTAATGAACCGTCTTTCACCTTATTGAGGCAGTGAAGCGTGGTTAACTTATTCCAATGCATGAAACAGAAATTTGCATAAAAGGTTAGCCACAAGAGAGCTTAATCATTGTACGGCCAACGGCTGATCTTCAGAGTTTGAATCTTGACATCCTTTATTGGGTTTTGAGTCAACGAGGGACAAAGTTGTACTTTTGTAGAGTAGCATGTTAGATATCATGTTGCTATCATCAGCCTGTATAACCAAAGATGTGATTTACATATCCGCTTGAAGACATCATAAGGAGGCATGGAATCAAAGCCACATGAAGTATTAGTACCGCTTTATAAAAGCCTTAGTAAAGGCGATACTTGGAATACTGCATCCCGTTTTGGATTCACCACATTACAAGGAAAATGTTGAGACTTCGGGGAAAAAAGTGGAGAGTAGAACAACTAAGATGATTAAAGGCTTGGAGACTAAAACATATGAAGAACAGTTGCAGGAATTGGGTACGGCTAGTCTAGAGAAAAGAAGGACTACAGGCAGGGGTGAAATCCAGCAGGTTCTGACCGGTTCTGGCGAACCGGTAGTGGCAATTTTGAGTAGTTTGGAGAACTGGCAAATACCACCTCTGGCTGGCCCCAGAGTGGGGTGGGAATGGAGATTTTGCAATTTCCTTCCCCAGGAGTGGGGAGGGAATGGGGATTTTGCAATAGCCTTCCCCCAGGAGTGGGGAGGGAATGGAGATTTTGCAGTATCCTCCCCTGCCACACCCACCAAGCCATACCACACCCAACAAGCCACGCCCACAGAACCGGTAGTAAAAAAATTTGGATTTCACCACTGACTAGGGGTGACATGACAGCAGTATTCCAGTATTCGAGGGGCTGCCACAAAGAAGAGGGGGTGTCAACTTATTTTCTAAAGCACCAGAAGGCAAGATAAGAAACAATGGATGGAAACTAATCAACCTAGAATTAAGGAGGAACTTCCAACCAGTGGGAACAATTCACCAGCGGAATAACTTGCCTGTAGAAGTTGTAGGTGCTTCATCACTGGAGGTTTTCAAGAGGCAGGTGGACAGCCACCTGTCTGAAATGGTATAGGGAAGGGGTGTCAAACTTGATTTCATTGAAGGCTGCATCAGGGTTGTGTTTGACCTCAGGGGTAGTGGTGGAGTGGATGTGGCCAGGGTGGGCATGGCCAGCTTGACGTCACTTCTGTCAGGGGCCGCTGTGGAAGTCCGAGTGCTCTGCCCAAGGGTGGGCTTCGAAAATTTTAGCAAGGGGTTCTCTGCCTGGTTGCTGGGTGGGTGTGACCATGGTGGGCGTGGCCTAGTCAGCCTCCTGCACCACAGCAGGTGGGGGAGGTTGTTTTTGCCCTCCCCGGGCTTCGGACGCTTTCCTTGAACCTCCGGAGGGTGAAAATGGCCTCCCCAGGTTCCAGAGGCCCTTCCCAAACTTCCAGTAGGCCCATTGTTCACCCTCCCTGAGCCTCCGTGCATGCCCTGCACTTACCTGCATCCAAAATGGGCTGTGTGGGGACTCCTGGGAGGGTGGGGCGGGGCCAGCCAGGAGTGGGATTTGGGGATTCTCCGAACTGCACAGAATCTTAGCTAGAGATTCTTCTGAACCCCCAGCAGCCCACCCCTGGCTCTGCTGGAGAAAACAGGCTCCTGAGCTCCGTTTTCAGCTGCGACGGCCTCCTGCAACCCTCTGGCACCGAAAACGGAGCTTGGGAGGACCCTCATGCGGCCCCCCCCAAGCTCCGTTTTCACTGGCAGACACACCATGGGCCAGTCCTTCACTGTTTCCAGGGCCAGATCTAAGCATCCTATGGGCCAGGTATGGCCCACGGGGGTCTTGAGTTTGCCACCCCTGGTATAGGGTCTCCTGATTGAGCAGAGGGTTGGACTAGAAGACCTCCAAGGTCTCCTCCAACCCTATTCTGATTGACCGATAATGCTTCATAAGTGCACACATGTTGCAAAGTTTGGAAAGTCCAGCTTTTAAAAACAGCCCTCTTGGTTGACAGCCAGCAGATTCAGGCAGCCAGCAGTCATGCATCAACTCGCTTGCAGTGTGCACACGGTATGCCAATTCCTCAAGGAACAGCACCGAGCCAAAGGTGGATAGTCAATATTTGGAATTGATTTGGACCGATTCCAAGGGTCAAATTGATCGGGTGAATTGAATGGGTTTGGACTGAGTCAGACTCTTCTTTCCTGCATGTGCATTTTAATAGGCCCGAACGATTGGCGAGCTCGGTAAGATGGTTGCCGGCCTTACCGTGGTAGACGAGATGGAAAACGTGGTCTCCGATGAGCTAATTTCTACTTTTTCTCGTAAAGCTTAAATGAAGAGAGTCTCGGATCTGTTGCTTGCTTTCGTCTCGCTGATGGGAGCTCAATCAAAACCGTTCAAAGTAGAGCAATCAGTGGGTGATTTAATTTAATCCCATGCCCTCTATGCTAAGTCATCTAAAAATTGATGAGCATCAGTTCCAGTAAGTGTGAAAGAAGGATGTTAGGCACAAGGAATTGGGTTTGAAATGGTGGGAAAACAAGGGAGCAACAAGGACCACACAAGGATAACTCCGAATCAGACTGAGCTGGAAGGGACCTTGGAGGTCTTCTAGTCCAGCCCCCTGCTCAAGCTGGAGATCCCATACCATTTCAGACAAGTGACTGTCTGGACTCTTCTTAAAAACCTCCAGTGATGGAGCATCCACGATTTCTGGTGGCAAGCTGTTCCATTGGTTAATTGTCCTCACTGTTAGGAACTTTCTCCTTAATTCCAGGTTGCTTCTCTCCTTGATTAATTTCCACCCATTGCTTCTTGTCCTACCCTCAGGTGCTTTGGAGAATAGCTTGACTCCCTCTTCTTTGGGGCAGCCCCTGAGATACTGGAACACTGCTATCATGTCTCCCCTAGTCCTTCTTTCCTTAAGACTAGTCAAACCCGAAACCTGTAGCCATTCTTCATATGTTTTAGCCAGTGGTGGAATTCAATTTTTTTACTACCGGTTCTGTGGGCGTAGCTTGGTGGGGGTGGTGTGGATTGGTGGGCGTGACTTAGTGGGCGTGGCAGGGGAAGGATGCTGCAAAATCCCCATTCCCACCCCACTCCTGGGGGAAGGATATTGCAAAATCCCCATTCCTTCCCTACTCCTGGGGTAAGGATACTGCAAAATCCCCATTCCTTCCCCACTCCAGGAGAAGGATACTGGAAAATCCCCATCCCCACCCTACTCCAGGACAAGGATACTGCAAAATCCCCATCCCCACCCCACTCATTGGGGAAGGATATTGCAAAATCCCCATTTCCACCCCACTCCAGGGGAAGGATACTGCAAAATCCCCATTCCTATCCTACTCTGGTGCCAGCCAGAGGTGGTATTTGCCGGTTCTCCCGAACTACTCAAAATTTCTGCTACCGGTTCTCCAGAACCTGATGAATATCACCTCTGCCCTACATGACCCCCATAGGAATCTGACAACAGCCAATAGCACATTAAAGGACATGTTCTTGCACAGGAACAGGAAGCTCAACTACAAAGCCCAAAGAAGGTATAAAAACCCACCCACTCTCAATTCTATTTTGTCAGCTGCCCAGCAGAATCACATGTGGTTCTGCTTCATCACGAAACCATCTTTCCAATCAGCCTCCATGTTTCCAGGGTCTTTCTCCCAGCTTGGAAGTGACCCAGATGGATTTTCCTTCC